GTGTGTGTGTGTGTGTGTGTGTGTGTGTGTGTGTGTGTGTGTGTGTGTGTGTGTGTGTGTGTGTGTGTGTGTGTGTGTGTGTGTGTGTGTGTGTGTGTGTGTGTGTGTGTGTGTGTGTGTGTGTGTGTGTGTGTGTGTGTGTGTGTGTGTGTGTGTGTGTGTGTGTGTGTGTGTGTGTGTGTGTGTGTGTGTGTGTGTGTGTGTGTGTGTGTGTGTGTGTGTGTGTCTTCCTTTGGCCTCTGCGTCAACGCTGCTAAAACGAAATTTCTCGTGGCAGGTAGCCAAGTCAACATGCCTGATAGAGCCGATATGAACGTCAACGGTGATACTGTGGAGCACGTTCCATCCTTCATTTATCTGGGGTCCGTCGTGACACCGGATGCCCGCTCCTCTACTGACGTCAGTCGCCGCATAGCTGAGGCTTCCAAAGCCTTTGGAGCTCTTCTTCCAGTCTTGTCGGATCGCTCGCTGTCATTAGTCAGTAAGCGAAAGCTATACGTGGCCTGTGTCTTGTCCATTTTGCTGTACGGCAGTGAGTGCTGGACGCCCTTGAAAGCTGATAGTAGACGTTTGGATGCCATCATCGCTGCATCCGCACAATATTAGCCATCCCTCGCAGTCAGCAGCAATCCGATCGCATCACGTCTGCGCAGTTACGTCGTCACTGGGGTGACCCAGTGCCACTCTCTGTTAAGATGCGCCATCGTCGTTTAGAGTGGCTTGGTCATGTGGCTCGGATGTCGGAGGACCGTGTCCCATTGCAGCTGTTGTTTGGTCGTTTGTTGGCTGCGCGCCCCTTCTGCGGTCCCAGGCGTAGGTGGAGAGACGTTGTGGCTACTGACACGAAGTCCATTCCAAACTGGTTTGATTGCGCACAAGACCGGTCAGCTTGGCGAGAGCAGGTTCTGGTTTTTCAGCCTCCTCGGGCAGTAGAGAAATCCGTACTCTGCTCATCTTGCAACCGGGCTTTCTCTCGTCCTCAAGACAAGGCACGGCACAAGTGTTTGGCTGAGCGCCAACTTCCCGTCCACCAACAGCGTGGTTCAGCACAGTGCGTCAGTTGCTGCCGATGGTTCCGTAGTAAGGGTGGGCTTGCAGTTCATCGCTGCCAGCCTGCACTCCCTGAACATGCAGATACGGCATTGACGGCGTCTCTCGCTAGTTGCTGCTTCCAGCATTGTCAACGCTGCAATCGCTGCTTCAAGTCCCGGGCTGGTTTTAACCGCCATAACTGCAACCGTGGAAAACGTCTTGCTGCAGCCGATAGGGAATCACTGCCGCTGATCTGCATGCATTGCCCGAAACGTTTCCGACGACAGCAAGATTTGACGAGGCACCAGAAGTCCTGCCAATGACGGTGCACTCCAAACTCTGGCCCCCTCCGGGGGTGACATTGCCCAATGGGCAGTCATGCTATAGTAGTAGTAGTAGTAGTAGTGTGTGTGTGTGTGTGTGTGTGTGTGTGTGTGTGTGTACGTGTGTGTGTGTGTGTGTGTGTGTGTGTGTGTGTGTGTGTGTGTGTGTGTGTGTGTGTGTGTGTGTGTGTGTGTGTGTGTGTGTGTGTGTGTGTGTGTGTGTGTGTGTGTGTGTGTGTGTGTGTGTGTGTGTGTGTGTGTGTGTGTGTGTGTGTGTGTGTGTGTGTGTGTGTGTGTGTGTGTGTGTGTGTGTGTGTGTGTGTGTGTGTGTGTGTGTGTGTGTGTGTGTGTGTGTGTGTGTGTGTGTGTGTGTGTGTGTGTGTGTGTGTGTGTGTGTGTGTGTGTGTGTGTGTGTGTGTGTGTGTGTGTGTGTGTGTGTGTGTGTGTGTGTGTGTGTGTGTGTGTGTGTGTGTGTGTGTGTGTGTGTGTGTGTGTGTGTGTGTGTGTGTGTGTGTGTGTGTGTGTGTGTGTGTGTGTGTGTGTGTGTGTGTGTGTGTGTGTGTGTGTGTGTGTGTGTGTGTGTGTGTGTGTGTGTGTGTGTGTGTGTGTGTGTGTGTGTGTGTGTGTGTGTGTGTGTGTGTGTGTGTGTGTGTGTGTGTGTGTGTGTGTGTGTGTGTGTACGTGTGTGTGTGTGTGTACGTGTGTGTGTGTGTGTGTGTGTGTGTGTGTGTGTGTGTGTGTGTGTGTGTGTGTGTGTGTGTGTGTGTGTGTGTGTGTGTGTGTGTGTGTGTGTGTGTGTGTGTGTGTGTGTGTGTGTGTGTGTGTGTGTGTGTGTGTGTGTGTGTGTGTGTGTGTGTGTGTGTGTGTGTGTGTGTGTGTGTGTGTGTGTGTGTGTGTGTGTGTGTGTGTGTGTGTGTGTGTGTGTGTGTGTGTGTGTGTGTGTGTGTGTGTGTGTGTGTGTGTGTGTGTGTGTGTGTGTGTACGTGTGTGTGTGTGTGTACGTGTGTGTGTGTGTGTGTGTGTGTGTGTGTGTGTGTGTGTGTGTGTGTGTGTGTGTGTGTGTGTGTGTGTGTGTGTGTGTGTGTGTGTGTGTGTGTGTGTGTGTGTGTGTGTGTGTGTGTGTGTGTGTGTGTGTGTGTGTGTGTGTGTGTGTGTGTGTGTGTGTGTGTGTGTGTGTGTGTGTGTGTGTGTGTGTGTGTGTGTGTGTGTGTGTGTGTGTGTGTGTGTGTGTGTGTGTGTGTGTGTGTGTGTGTGTGTGTGTGTGTGTGTGTGTGTGTGTGTGTGTGTGTGTGTGTGTGTGTGTGTGTGTGTGTGTGTGTGTGTGTGTGTGTGTGTGTGTGTGTGTGTGTGTGTGTGTGTGAAGGGAACACTGATCATCTAATTCTGGATGACACCTGAAACCTGGCAGATCCCTTGTACGGAAATTTTAATGCACCTAAAAGTACATGTTTTACAATAGACACCCTTAGCAAACAACAGTAACGCTATTTTTTACGGTACTCGTACCTTGATCACCCAAATAGCGTTGAAGCTGCAGCGTATAAACGTTATGGGGGCTGATTTATCGTTGTGACCAACGGTACGTGTTTTGGCCAAATATTGCATAGTCCGTACGCATTTCACCTTGTATCGCGTATATGGTGACAAAAATGGTTGTACCGCGCGAAATCAAAGCTACTCTCGTGGCAACAGCGTACTAAAAATAGCGTGCATCTTGCTAAAGGTCGAACCCAAATCACGGTATTTTCCCCCTTACGATAATACCGTTACAACATAACGTTGTTTGCTAAGGGTGTCTAATAACCGGTTTGTCCAACACTAACGATTAAAGGCCGGATAATCTCAAGTCGGAGAGTGCATAAATAAGAACAAAAATGAATGATGTGAAACTGACATGCACCGAACCCTTATTCAGCTGCATCACGTCGTGAATGCGCAAACTAGCCGCCTTATAACTTGGAATTTTATAAGTTATGGAGCAACGTGATAACTCTTGTTGCCTCATGCCCTCCCGGAAAAAGCTTTGGCTTTTGTCTTTCTTGCATCCCCTCATTATTATCGTGTTTTGGTCGGACTTTGAGTAGTGCGCTATCTCCTTGGAACATGCGAGTAAACGTGAACGCTGGTGGTTGTGCATGTGTCTGTATATGCCTGAGTGTGTCTTAGAGTGTGCCTAGGCATGTGTGTGTGTGGGTGCGTGCGTAATGGTAATTCCGTTGCTGGGTTCTTTCCCAGTGACCACCACTGCATAGCGGGATCTCCCAGTGACCACTACTGCATAGCGGGATTTCCCAGTGACCACCACTGCATAGCGGGATTTGTAAATTCAATTACTTCCTGTAAAGCAACAAACTTTCGCGGCGCGCAAATTTAGCGTTTTCATAATTTGGACTGATTCACGATGAGAAACTTTTGCTATTCTATCTCTTCAGTTGTACCTTGTACTGTCTACAATCAATGCACGGAGAGGTTTTATATTCGCGAATGTGTGGTGGTCGCGAAAATAGCGAAATTTAATCTGTAGCGAAAGTTTCTCACTTTACAGTAGTTCATGTCTAGCACAGTTCCCAGACCTGGCTCCGGGCTGTCTAGCACAGTTCCCAGACCTGGCTCTGGGCTGTCTAGCACAGTTCCCAGACCTGGCTCCGGGCTGTCTAGCACAGTTCCCAGACCTGTTTCGGGCTGTCTAGCACAGTTCCCAGACCTGGCTCCGGGCTGTCTACCACAGTTCCCAGACCTGGCTCCGGGCTGTCTAGCACAGTTCCCAGACCTGGCTCCGGGCTGTCTAGCACAGTTCCCAGACTTGGCTCCAGGCTGTCTAGCACAGTTCCCAGACCTGGCTCCGGGCTGAATACCACAGTTCCCAGACCTGGTTCCAGGCTGTCTAGCACAGTTCCCAGACCTGGCTCCGGGCTGACCGTGTATGAAACATAGACACACACAGACACACACAAGATCACCCACACCAACATACACCCCTCATCCTCCCCCCCCCCCCCACACACACTAGCATGGATAAACACACAGATACATTTCACACACTCACATACACGCCTTCCTTCCTTCTTCCTTCTTCTCCACTGCCATGACTGGCTAAGTGGCCCCATACGGGTCAGCTCTTGGATTAGCGCTGTCTCCGGGAAGCGGCACCAGGACCCGACGACCGACGTGACGGCGCATTCCCACGGGTTATAATTGCTATTGAACGCCGCGATGTACAACGATGCCGTGCGAGCTCATCCCCAGTCGGTGTTGGGCGACCACTTGTCAAAACTAAGCAATCTCCGACAGTATATTGATGAGAGCCAAACCAAAGCGTCTCCTGGAGGCCAACGATGTCCATTCCATACTTTTCGAGCTGACGACACACAAGGTCAATTTTTCTCTCCTCGCGAATATTCGAACAAACTTTCCTTGATTTTTTGCTTTGGACGCCGTATTCAAATTTCCGTCAGTGTCGACAAGAGTCCTGACGTTCCACGTTCCCAGAGACAGAACAACCTTTCGAGCCGCTGGTGCACGCGAGTGAAAAGACTCTGGGCGAGGGTTTGCAAGACCTCTACACCCAGGCGAAAGAGGGTCAGCATACACGCACACTCATACACACATGCAAGCACAGCCATACAATTACTTCCAGGATTAAACTTGATGGAAACCAGCTAATCTCTTCCAAGCTTCAATCACAAACTATTCCTACACAAACATGTGAGAGGGAGACTGTCATTACACCGAAAGCTGTCGGTGCCTACAGGCTAAGAAATGCAATCTTTTTGGGAAAACACACACAACAAACAAACTCTCCATAAATAACATACTTTGTGGATAATTAATAGTAACGAGAAATGTGGCGAAAATCATGCTTGCAATTCAAATTGAAATCAGAGACGCCAACAAAATTATTATGCCTGCCATTAATCACACGATCAGTGTCATCATTGCCAGGGTAAATGTAACCATGGTGATACAAATGGTGGGAAGGAGTAGTGAGCCGCTCCTGGGCATCCCGGGTGAATCACTTGTAACGACTTCATGGTTGAGAAGAGGAGCATGGACAAGAAAAAGAAAGAAACACAGGTATGTATGTCAGGTACTACTAGAGGACAATGTGTATAATCAAGAGAAGATAAACAAAAGTGTGCAACTCCGGGATGGGTTGGCCCGCGGCGGAATTATTTGTTGACGTAATCTTTTCTACGATGCACGCGCTGCGTGTCTTATGGAAGGTTTTGCCTCGTGGACTTGGCCGGGCTGTACATTACAAGGTCGGTGCCCAGCACGTGCTCTCACACTGTTCTGCTGCAAAATGCGCATTTTTCTGAAAAAAAGGTGACGTCAACCAAAAATTCCGCCGCGGGCGGGGGTATCTGCAGATTGTGCAAAAAAGATCCGGAGTTGCACACTCTTGTTTTTTCTATCCTTGGTATAATGTACAACGTTATATATATGTAGGACTCAGTATAGAGTCCAAGCACTATATGATGTCCAGCACCCTATATAGAGTCCATTGGTCCAAAATCCACTATACAGAGTCCAGGAGTCCACTCAGTTTTGATCAGCTTCATCCTGCCGCGCAATCCCCTATAAGGAGTACACTTTTTCTACAAGTCCCCTATTCACAGTCCAGGAGTCCAGTTTATCCAGTCACGCCGTCCTGTGTGTTGTGCCCGAAAGAGAACAAACACATTTTCAGTTTTGCTTGCCTCGTGGCAGCGCATTCCTTTCTCCACTTTAGCCATGGCTCCCAGTTCTGCTGTGCAGTTGCTGACAGTAATCTGTCTTGAGGTAACCAAGGAGGATAAGGAGACGTTCAAAATCAAATCTGGAAAGCGTCTTGTGGTTCTCTGAAGACGTTTCATCAGTGCGCGGGATGAAAGCAGAAATTGCAGAACGAGAAAAGTTCAGTGTTGTCCTGAAGACTGAACTGCTGTTACATACTAGAGAGACCGAATATAAGGTAAATAGGTGCGAGGTACATATTGTGACATAACTAACACCAGGGTACTAAAGGTGACACCTACATAGTATCTACTACCACATTACTCCAATGCTTTAGTAAAAAGCTAGCAACCGAATGAAATGGGCAACGCAATATATTAATAAAACAACCGAGTAAATCAATTTCGAATGATCATATATCTTGCTGAATCGAATGATTAACCCAACACTTTAGCAACAAGAAGTTGAAAAGAATGATCAACCCAAACACTCTAGCAACGAGAAGATATTACTGCTGTCTATTCTTGCTCATAACTTTGATAGAATGAATGCTGCTATTGTCACTACTCCGGCTACTAAGGATGCCATGCTATTATAGTAAAATTGTTTCAATCGTATCCCAGCCGCTCCACAGGCATGCTCACTCTGCTAGAACGTCGAGGCAGCTGTGGCTGGTTGTTGTCGGCTCGGGCTTCTTCTTCCGTTGTGCCTGCAGCATCTTTGTCAGACCCAGGGCTACGGCTCCGCTCGGTGGTCGCCTCAGTTGCTGATGGCGGGATAGTCTCCCTGACTTGCCGGCGGTTTCTTATGGCCGTGCGCACACCGTCTTCCACCACCACTTGACGGCCTTCCTGTCGTACGACACACCATTCCTTGGCCGGTTGACTATATCCGTCTTGCAGTACCACTTTACTGCCTGGCTCGAGAGCAGGGAGCTCCCGCACGCCTCTCTTCTGATCGTGTTGATGGGCCATTCGCATTTTTTGGTCAATTTGCTTCTCCCGGTTGATGATTTGACCGTTAGCTAGATTCGGCAATCGTCCTCGAAGGGCCCGTCCAAAGAATGCTTCTCCTGGTGATGTCCCAATCATCCGATTCACGGATGTACGAATGCCGAATAGCGCTTGCTGGAGTCGCTGTCTCAGAGGTAGTGATGAAGGCATCCCACTCAATCGCCTGCGCACGACGCCATGGAATCTCTCCACCATTCCGTTGGAGCATGGATACCGCGGGCTCGACTTGATATGCTTGACTCCTGCTTTCCGGAGAAAAGTTTCTGTTTCGTCCGACACCAGCTGTGGCCCATTGTCGCTAACTAGCTCCACCGGTAGACCATGTCTTGCGAATACTTCCGACAATGCTTGTATTATGACTCTCGACGTGGTGCTGGATAGCAAGAGCAACTCGGGATATCGGGATCCGTAGTCGATGACCGACAAGAAGTGATGATCCTCGATCTCCACGAGGTCCACCGCCACCCGATACCAGACTGGTAGGATTTCTGACGGTTGGAGGGGTTGTGGAGGATTCCGCTGCCTCTTCCAGCATGTCGAGCATGTCCTAGCGAATTCTGAGGCATCTTTGCTCATGGACGGCCACCATACACTTTGTCGCTACGTGTCCAGAAACGTGTCGAGTCCTGGATGGCCTTCGTGTGCGATACGGAGGACTTGGTCATACAAGGTATCGGGTATGACGATGCGATTGTTATGCATGACGATGTCATCAACCACTGACAACGAGTCCCTTATTCGAAAGTATACCTCGTCGCTGCCGTCGCATGTATTCCACTTGCCTTGTAACACTCTGTTCCTGACTCGACTTAGCTGACCATCAGTGTCTGTGGCTAGCCTGACATCTTCGCAAGAGATTGGAGCTTCCCCCAGGATTAAGCCAACATACTCCTTCATTGACCTGGCCTCTGCCGGACTGGCTTCCACTGCTTGGGAGGGGGCTCTCGATAGCGCGTCAGTACAAATCATTGACGTTCCTGGCGTATAGGTCAACTGAAAGTCGTATGGGAGGATTGCCAGCAGCCATCGCTGCAATCGGGCTGGCACCTGATCGAATTCCTTTTTTACGATTGCCACCAGAGGCTTGTGGTCAGTGAATACGATCACTTGTCGCCCCAGTACGAATTGGCGGAATTTTACCAAGCCGAAAACCACAGCCAGCATCTCTCTCTCAAGCTGCGAATACCGTGTCTCGGGATCCTTGAGAGCTTTGCTAGCGCATGACACGGGTTGAAAGCGGCCATGATTGTCCTTCTGCCACAGTATAGCTCCCAGGCCACATGGAGATGCATCCACACTAATGGCCGTCTCCCTGGTTGGCGTGACGTCGAAGAACGACAGACGTAACAATCTAGACGCGGCCTCCTCTTTGAGTGTGTTGAACTCCATCCAGAGCGAGTTGTCTGCGACGAATGGCTCGCGTTTTGCCAATGTCCTGACCGGTGCCGTTGCGTCCGCTAATCCAGGGATGAATTTTCCGAGGTATGTTAGCATACCAAGGAATCGCCGTACATCCGACTGAGATTCTGGCAGAGGCATGTCTAGGATTGCCTTCACTTTGTCTGGGTCAGGATTGACGCCCTGGGCGTTCAGTATGCTGCCAAGGTATCTAACCTCACTTTGCTTCCACTGACATTTGTCGTTGTTCAATTTCAGCTGTGCCGTTTGTAGTCGCTCTAGGACTCGCTGCAGTCGTTCATCGTGTTGCTTGATGCTGTCACCGGTGACCAGTACATCATCTACGTACACGAAGACTCCTGGGATACCAGCGAGCAGGTCAGACATGACCCTTTGGAAGATTTCCGGGGCGCATGAGATGCCGAAGGGTAACCGCTTGAATCGGAACAAACCTTCCTCCGTCGTGAAAGTTGTGTACGGCTGTGAGCTGGATGACAGCGGGATTTGGTGGAATCCAGACTCTGCGTCCAAGACCGAGAAAATCGTTGCACCGTGGATTTGGGCTGTTATTTCCTCAGCGGTAGGCATGGCTCTCTTCTCCCGAATGATGTTTTGGTTCAACTTCCTGTAATCTATACACAAGCGAAGCTTGCCGTTAGATTTGCGGCTAGGAACTATCGGTGAGATCCATGGAGTCGCCTCTTTCACTGGTTCGATAATTCCAGCCTCCAACATTCGACTTAGTTCTGCCTTGACCTCCTCGCGGATGCTGAAAGCATGTCGTCGGCAGGCAGACGCCACAGGCACGGCGTTTGGGTCCACGACCCAATAGCGGGGATCATGAGCTGCGCGTAGCGTTGCCGCAGGCTCCATGGTATAAGCCTCTTCGAATTCGTCTTCGACCACCAATGTATCTTCCTCTATTTTATTGCTGAGTCTGTCTTTCCGGAGGCAGACCTGAGGAAAGTGGCCCACTATCCCACAGTGCCGGCATCTAGTCCGGCCTGCCGGGCAAAAGGATCTTCCCGGGGTATGTTCTCCCCCACAATACTTGCACGCTCCTTTCCGCCTTTTATGTCGAGGAGGTTGTGCCGAGGCTCCTGCCACTTTCCTGGACTCCTCTCCTGACATGACTCTGTTTACCATTGGTGTCGATGATGATGATAGCGGCTGCGGAGTCGGTGCTACTGGCTGCTCGTACAGTAGCGAGTCCAGTATAGATGCTTCCATTCCTACTGCCTTTGCTGATGCCGCAGTTAGCGTCAGATCTGCGGTCGCTAGGAGTTCTCGTCTTATAGCTGATGACTGCAGTCCTTCAATGAACTGGTCTCTGATGACTCCATTCACGATTGTGTCCACATCGGTGCTGTCGAAGCTGCATTGGTGTGCCATAGCCCGAAGGGCCGACAAATAGGCTGTCATAGTCTCCCCATTCCTCTGCTTCCGACCTCTAAACCTGTGCCGTTCTGCTGTCAGGTTGATGGAAGGCTTGAAATACTTCTCCAAGGCCGTTTTCAGAGGAGTGTACGTGTCAGGTGGGACATCCCCTTCTGCCTCAGCTGTGGTCACAACCAAGCCTTTGGTGATCCGCCGGAGGTCGATTCCGCCAATATTCAGCAGCAGTTTCCTCTTCTGCGCGGCTGCGTCGATCTTCTGTAGGTCAAGGTAGGCTTCGAAGTCTTCCAACCACAAGGCGAATTCCTCAGCTTGGTTCGTGTCCTCAGAGACTTGAAAGGAACTTGGGGCTCTGCCGAGAGAACTTGCCATCTTGAGTCCTGCTTGTTCACTGCGCCAATGTTGTCCTGAAGACTGAACTGCTGTTACATACTAGAGAGACCGAATATAAGGTAAATAGGTGCGAGGTACATATTGTGACATAACTAACACCAGGGTACTAAAGGTGACACCTACATAGTATCTACTACCACATTCAGCACAGTTCAAATCTAACGAGTCAGGTACACTGACACTCTCTTTCGTTCGACGCCACAAGGATCCCCTGTTTGGCTGGCCATTGCTGCCAGTAAGACGTTTGAACGGTTTCATCAGAGCGAGGGATGAAAGCAGAAAGCGGAGAAAGAGAAAAGTTCTGCACAGTTCCAACCTGACGAGTCAGATACACTGACACTCTCTTTCGTTCGACGCCACAAGGATACCCCTGTTTGACTGGACAAGAGCTGCCTGTACCACCGTGTCAAAAGGCTGTCCAACTACATGACAGGACGATGACTGAGGTAAGGAAGCTTTTACTCGTTTCGATTGGTCTGCTGTTCTGTCGTTATGCTTGAATTTGTTTCCATTTTCAAGGAGCGTATCGTGTTTGTTTGATGTTGCTTGAATGAATGCCCTAAAAGTAATCAACCACTTCGTAATAGACCTCAAGGACTGCAAGGACTTTGCATCAATCGTATACGATCGTCTAGCTATCATCAATTATTATAATTATTTCATGAGAAATGTATTTTTATCCCTGTGAAAATTATGTGAAACTCCACGACACTCTTCCTCTACAAATTATAGTATGATGTCAAATACAATGGGATCCACAAACGCAGTGCCAGTGTACTAGTAGTAGTAGGAGGATTGCTTGTATGCCAATGACAAGAAAAAGCTTCAAGCTAATACTCGTATTCCCTGAAGTAACCGTTTTGATGTCACGAACATGACATTGTGTCAGTGAAACTGCCTCGTGACAACAAATCATTGCATTTCCATCTTGGGGAAGACTGACTGACAGCAACGCTTTACAGATTGTTCAAATCATCTCATTTCAATTTAGTTGCAGTGAAACACTGTGTACACTACATGTATGTCGGTGTGTCTGTGGGTCTTGAGTGTGCACAAACGATCTTATTCCTCGTATTACTAATAGATTATTGTCCCCACCGTCACCTGTTCACAGGTCTTTGAGTGGATTGATTTTCATTGAGCATCACATTCGTTGAGAACTTGGTAGTTGTGTGCTCCCATGCATCATTACGGTAATAAGCGTATCCTTGTGCTATCTATTTGTTGCAGGTGTGCTGATCTTCAAAAGCTTGCGGAACTGAGTGCTGCTGAACATTTGCATGGCCATGAGCAATGGTGAATCTTTCTATTGCACTCTCAGCATGTGCTAGTATTATGCTGACCACTGCACCATGTTACTCTCTTACACAACTATGTGTATGTAAACGTGCGTGTACCCGTCCCCGTAAGCATTCGTTTCGTATAATTATTTGTTATCCCTCTTGACTTTACGTGTAAATGGGTGGACGTTTGCATGGCTGTTGGAGTTGCGTGTGTATTGTGTCTCTACTCTTTTATTGGTGTTTTCTTGGCGTTCTATAAGTTTGTGTGTGTGTGTGTGTGTGTGTGTGTGTGTGTGTGTGTGTGTGTGTGTGTGTGTGTGTGTGTGTGTGTGTGTGTGTGTGCGCGCAATAGTTTGAAAACAAATAATTGATCCTGGGCTCTACATTATTCTCTTTCGATTCTTGTTTTTTTCTAGGTATTTTCTTGGCGTTGTGTGGGTGTGAACATGTGTGTGTGTGCGTGCACAATAATTTGGCAACACTGCATGATTGAGATATTGTAATTTGCAGCGTCTGCGTAGAGACCACTTGATTTGAGGATGGTGTTTGTAGGGTTTTTCATGTAGTGAAGTGGCTGCAGTGGCGCCTCAATACATATTTTTTATCTTGAGAAGTGAATGATGTAAAGGATAAGGGAGAGGCCGTTTTCTGGTTAATATTCACTGCTTACAGCAGATCCTATGTCTAATTTCGAACTCGATAGGGTATGCCTAATTGGCTGGACTTTATACAGGGAGTGTTGTCCACATAAAGACTCTTTAATCTTTATAGTTGATTTCAAAATTTGGACTCCGTACAGTTGATTTTGGACCAATGGACTCTATATAGGGGTGAAGCCATTTGGCTGGACTCTATACAGGGAGTGATGTCCATCTAAACTGAGCTCACAGTTGATTCCAATTTTGGACTCTGTACTGTGGATTTTGGACCAATGGACTCTATATAGGGGTTGGACATCATATAGGGGCTGGACGCTCTACTGAGTCCAACATATTCATACTCAATCTGTGGACAGCTACCTGTTTCGATCTCATTTGATATCGTAGGCGGCGAAAATAGAAATCGAGTGGTGAGTTGTGACATGGAAAAATGTGCGCACAAGTTATGGGATCCAGTCCACGAACCGAACCATATTTTGAACAGTCAGACTTGCACAATCTAGCACCAAACTGACCATGAGCATTGAAACATCCCACGGCAAGGAAGTGGGAATGTGCAAGCTTGACTGTTAAAAAATACCTTTAGTCAGTCGATGGCTCTTGTAGCATGAGGTCTCCTACTCATCGGTCCAGGGAAGTTCTGGGTAACTTTTCGTGTATCTTATGGCTTGTTTGTATGGGTATGTTGGGTTCTCACTGGGTTTCCGATGGGGGCAGTGCTTTCCGGAGGTAAGACCCAACAAAAGCGGGGGCCAGATTTTAGCTTTTACTGTTTTCTGATGATTGCTTGGGGGTGAAACTCGAAGATAACACACAGTAATCATTTCCTTCCTTTTGTGGGTAGGTCTGTCTGTACAGCCTGGAGCCTTTCTGTTTCAGAGGTCCAATAGAGTGAATCATCCGATGCTGCAAAGGCACTTCATGAGAGGGATAAACAACTAGACAGAGGAACAGTTGGGGCGACATACATACCGCTTGACCAACACACATTGTCAGTGAGCGGCATACCTGTACATTGTCCGCCGTCTCCATAGTAACCAGCGTTGCAAGTGCATGTGAAGTTGCCAACCGTATCATTACACATGGCATTGTAATGACATGCATGATTCCCACGAACACATTCGTCAATATCTACAGAAAGACAAAAAAAAGCAGCCAGCAGTCAATGATGTGGTAACTGTTGCACGTTGAAACACGGCAATATCTTGGTTAATCATTGTTGCCATTGTCACCATCTGAGTTATGCACCCAATGATGGCAAATTTGCCAAACAGCGCCTCCTTCTGCAAGCTAAAATGTTTGCTCTGTAGTACAATTTTTTCTTTCGCAAAGTCATGAGTCGTGGAGACTGCTCCACCTTACGCAGCCACAAAAACTGCAACCTAGCACAATTTGGAAAAACACGTAGCTATAATGTTTTGGATCCGAAATTCACGCTGGAGCCTATTCGGGCATGTGCTTTGCCTGGGTAAGGACACGCCAGCACGATTGAGCATGGAACGATACTTTCAGGCACCCGAGGGGAGGTACCTTGGGAGGCCGAGGGTGACACTGCCAATAAAGCTCCACACCGATCTGTCCCAGACGGACAATGGACAGCTGCGGAGTGCCGAGGACTTGCACCGTTTCACATATGCATTGTTCTTCCCTGCTGAGCTTGCCCCCCACTGAATAGATGTAGTATTATCACCTTTTGTTTCGCTCTTTTTCACCTTCGTTCACTTTTATTTGTCCATATAAGATTAGTTCAAGTAGTTCCCATTCCATTGTTACGTAGATTCACTGATGATTGTAACAAGAAAAGAGTTCTGAACGAATCCTCGCTTTCCCTTCCTTGTGTGCCTTGCGATAATCGTACAACATTTTACACATACATGTCGACATATATGAAATGCTTACTGTGCAATTAGTTGTCTTTGTAGCTAGTAAAGGCCTCTTTTTACGGGCAAACAGAATACAATTGACAGTGGCATGGCGAATGATTAGAACACAACACCAAAAAATGAAAACAATTGTATGTTTGAAACTCGGGTATTGAGCCAATAATAAAAGTAGAAAGGAAAAGGACATATGGAAACGAGTTAAGAGTAACTCTCCACCACTGTAACTTGATACTTTATACAGTCAGTCAAATCGCCTACTGGTCTCGTCATCGTCCAGTGACAATCGACATTCTTTGTTCCGTTGGGACTGTGGCTTTTGCTCGTTTTCGTTGCGCTTGCCTTCCCCTCTTTGGTCTTCCCATAACCTTGAACCTTCCAAGTTGGAAGGCTGTCGGTTAGCGCTACGGAGATGTGTTGAAGCTAGGTGTCAGGACGTCGAATGTCTCAGTACTCTGTCAGTTTTGTGCCTAGTTGTTGCACTTTCTGACTGTATAATATAGTATCTAGTTACAGTGGTGGAGAGTTACTCTTAACTCGTTTCCATATGTCCTTTTCCTTTCTACAATGGTATGTGTGAAAAAACGCAAAAAACGAGAAACAAAAAAACAAACAAAAAACACCAAAACAACCCCAAAAAAGCCCCAAAAAACAGGAAAATACAAGGGCACTGTTCTGCCCACCATCGTCTCCAAAACCTCACAGCCGGCCCTCCGAGATTGCCAACTCTCGCAATGCATTCACAGGACGGTGATATGACGATGGAGCACCGCGGATGCACATGATCGCCGACCGCAATAATGCAAACGCAAGTCGACACCGGACATATGTCATTGTCTGGGCATACAACTTCGTGTCCTTACTCCAAATGAGGCCACACAGGCGCTTAACAAATCTGGAGCACTCTGGCGCACAACAACCGACCGTGGTGAAAACTAGTGGAGTAAATGTCCCACGGTCCACATTGATGATATGCTCAACATACTGCAGCTTCTTCTTCCTCTCATGCTCCGCCAACAGTTTGTCGAGAGGTTTGGTGGCATAGGACGGAGCATCGGGATGAAAAACCCGGACATCCAGGACAGCATTCTGTGCCCTGGTCCACAGCCCTCGAGCCCGGATATCAGCGCGAGCATCGTTGGCGGTGATAGTTGAGGCTGCCAGAAACACCTCTCCCGAAACCGGAGCAAGCTGAGGCTCGACAGCGACATCCGAGCAAACTTCAGTAAGTAAGTCGGCAAGAATATCGCGAACTTCATTGTGCCGAATGGTGGGGACACCACCAGTAGGGCAATACATGGCATGGGCCGGACTAAACGGTTGGCCACAAGAGCAGGTAGTAGGCACATCAACGAATGCCCAGTCATACCGCAACGCCACCGCATCCCTGGAATCTCCCTTCGACAGATGATATCCAAGTTCTCTGATAGGCAGTGTGTTGAGCCAGCTAGAGACACCTCGGGAGGACAAATGCTCCAAACGACGCGCCATATCCGCCGACGCCGACTGCCGCAGCTGGCGGAACTCAGCCTCACTTGCTGTGCCGCGTTGTCTGGCAAAATCCTTCTTGGCTGTCATAGCATCTTGCCGAACACGTTCCGGTGCTTGCTTGGTCCATGATGTGTTGTTCTGTTGCAGAATTTCACTAACCTTGGCTGCTGTCATTGCTCTGGAAGTGTCGCGCCCTGTCCCGCTCATGCTGTGAAAGTGTGGAATGGCCATTCCCCCGAAACGAGTCGGCAGCCTGAGCATCACCAAATCCTCCGTGGTGAATGCATCTCGACCAGTTGCAGCCGGCAAGAACTCAGTTTCGATTACCTTGTCCAACGCTGATACTCCGTCCTCCGGAATGGGAACCGTACAAAAGAGGTAGACCCAACGACCTCGCAGGCCATGAGTCAAAGCTGCATAAGCCGCGTGAGGCTCTGTGCTGGCAAACTTTGCTTATGTGCGTAGCTCCTTGCACCAATCATCAACCCTCTCCCTCACTTGGCTGGCAACATCATCAGGCTCCCCGATGTATGAGCCCAGATATTTAGTGCTGCCGGTGACAATGCGGACACCGGTGCCTTCAAACAGATGTGAAGCCTCCTCCTCCAATCCGGGCTTCACTAGAAGTAGGGTTTTGTCCGGATTGGTGAAATATCCATACAGGCGACCGTGTTCCTGGATTGTTGTCCACCAGTCTCGAATCGCTCTCATCCTGCCAGCACCACTGGAGTCATCTGCATACCAAATCTGCTTAACGGCGTCGTGTTGCTGCTGCATATGCCGAATGATGGGGAGTGTGGCCAATGCATAAAATGCCAGGGACAGCGGGTCTCCCTGGGTAGTACCCTCCTTTGACGAAATCTCCCCGCCACCAGCCACAAACAGACGTGCCTCCGACTGATAGGGGTTTAGAAGAATGGTGGATAGTGCTGGACAGAGGCGCTGAACGTTATGCAGAGCTGCCTGTCGGTTTATGCTGTTGAATGCGTTACTGGCATCCACCAACAGCACTCCCTCAGTGGACGATTCGTTGTAGATGTCTTTCATGGCATGCACTGCTGCTTCAATGCCACCTGGTGATCCAGCGCATTTCTGAAGATGTCCGCAGGCTGCCTCCATGTCAGTGGAAGCAATGCGCAGAATAGCCTTCAATACTATCCGCCTAAGCACCTCGCCCACGCCAATAGGGCGTACGCCAGGCTGCTTGTCAAGGGCGATCAGCCGGCAAGACAGTAACGGCACCAGGCCTTCAGCGGGAAGAACACGGGTAGCAAGAAGACGAGAGAGGTCAGCAATAGCCTGGCACAGACTGGTTGATGCCCCCTTAAAAGAGGAGCACATCCGCCGCCAACATGCTGAGTCCATCCCAGACGGACCTGCAGATCCCTCCAAGTGCATCGCCACGGATTTCAGAAACTCAGCAGTGAGGCCATCGAGACGTAGGCCTTCAACACCGGGGGCATCCCCAGGCAGCATGGCTTCAGAAGGTGGTAGCCGAGCCTCCGGATGCTTGTCCAGTAATGCCTCTTTGACAGGAAAAGAGGAACCATCCCGGAGAGGTACGGTATCTTTGATGTTCAGCACACCACCCACTTCACCACGTCTGACTGGATCCAGGCATCTAAGTGCATCATGCACACGGCCCTGGCACATGAGGTCGGAGAAGTGGCGAGCCTCATCTTCCTCACCTCGCTTGCGGCCTCCCTTACGAGGCCGAAACAGCAAGTCTTGCATGCAGCGGCCTTCGCTCATTAATGACGTCAAATTCCCCGCTTGCCACTATGCCATTCGCCGCTGCAAATGCAGAGTATTCTCCTTTGGTTTGCTATGGCTACGGGTGGACTGCAACATCAGGGAAGGAAGCACGGAGAACCGGTAGAGAGCGATGCAGTCAGTGCCAGCAGAGTCAGTGAACCATCGAAGCTCTGCAACTAATAGAGTGACAAAAGCATTGCCAATGGACCCCGTCAGGATACGAAAGAACTGCTTCCGCCACTGAACGATCTCATCATAGCACGACGTTATGGACAGTTGTCCCTGATCCTCTCGCCCGATGCCCTGCACTGGTAGTATCTCCTGTTCATCTCCAGGAGTAGGAGGAAATCGAGAGTTGGCGCTCTCCTGAGCGGGACTAGACTCAGCATTGTCCTGGTTCACCGCCAAGTGTACTGGAGGCGCTGTAGGAACCAGCGGTGGCATGTCCTGGCTTTTTGTGTTGGCTGGTGAAGATGATGGTGCCGCTGCTAAAGACGCATCCCCGGCTCCAGCGCGAGTTCGACGTTGAGTGGAAATCTCACTTGGGTAAACTCTTCTCAACCAGGCAGGGGGTTGATCGCGCCAATCCACGCTTGGGTGAAGGTCGGCGCCAGACCTAGTTGCGCTGTGTACAGGACCATCCTGACTGGCAGCCTGAGATGTAATGCCGTTGACAACTACACCATCCACCTGGCTGTGGGTAACGCGAGTTCCGGAACTACATGTAGCGCCGTCACCCACACCAGTGCTGTGGCCACAGGACACCCCAGCCCCAACGCCTGGAGTGCTATTGTTGTCTTTGTAGCTATAATAATAATAATTTTAATAATAATTTCAAATGGTGAACGGTACTATTCGGCCAATAAAATGTAAAGAACTCTTTCTCTCCTCTCCTCCATGCGCTCTCACAGCCGACTCACTGCTACCCTCCGTAGCCATTACACACACCAACCAAGAAGGGGTTGCAGGTAGATACTGAAATTCCTCCTGACAGCTGTTTCGCTG